CATGTTTGAACCACGCAGTCCTCTCCGCAGGCCTTTGATGGAGTGCCACATTTGAGATGTTTGATTTCCTAATGTTCGGCGGTAAGGAAATGGGACGAGGTAGAATTTCCTTTTGGTTAGAGGTACAAAGGTACTGGGTGGGAGTGGGGGAGGTATGGAGGAAGATGAATGAGCTTAATTTTCTTGCAAGGGCTAGCCTGGGTGTCCAGGGAGCCTAAGAGAAGGGAGAGTCCTGTGCTTGCTCAGACTGTGGTCCCCTCTTCCAAGGCAGTCATTCACAGGCCACTCTTGGGGAACGGAGCAGAGAGCAGAGTCACTGACAGACAATCAGGACTGACCCTCACAGGCGCCTTTTGCCTCATTTGGGAACCACACATGTGAAGACGACAGAAGACTGGCCCCCTATCTAGTGAAGAGCAGCTGAATGCTGGTACCTTTGGGGCCTGCCGGGGCTACCCTTTGACAGACGTCCACCACTCTCAAGCCCGTAGGCCAGAGAGATGGCTTAGAGGGTAAAAGCTCAATTGTCAGGACTCACATGGCGGAGTGAGTCCTGTGACTCACTCCAGTTGTTCTCTGACTTCCAAACGTAAGCACGACACATGTGCACACATACAAACAAATAAAAAATTTAATTTTTCTGCAAGTTAAAAACCTCTTCTCTAAAGATATGTTTTATTTTTAAAACAAATTCTGTGTGTGTGTTTGTTCCTGTGTGGGGGTGCAGGTGCTCACAGAGCCCAGAAGAGGATGTCAGATGCCTTGGAGTTGGAGGGATTGGCGGTTGTAAGCTACCGGACATGGGTGCTGTGAGCCAGACTCTGGCCCTCTGCAAGAGCGGTACATGCTGTTAGCTGCTGAGCCATGTCTCCAGCCTCCTGAACAGTTCTTAAAGGAAGCAAGTTAGGAACGAAATCCTCCATTTTGACAGAAAAGGCTAAGGGGTAATGCAAAGGAGGGCAGGGAGTCACCTTTAGTCACCTCTTCCCTACGCCTCAACCACCAGTTCCCGCCGCATAGTATCCATCCTCGTGAAAATCTTTCCAGGGCTGGGGAGACAGTTCAGTTGGTAAAGTGTGTTGCCGTGGAAGTGTGAAGACCCGGGTCCCATCCCAGCAGTGGGGGATGAAGACAGGAGGGTCCCTGGGGTTCACGGGCAGCCAGGCGAGCTGAATCGTGAGCTCCAGGCTAACGTGAGACCTCGTCTCAAAAAAATAAAAATGTGGATGGTACCTGAGGAACAATATTCAAGGTTGACCTCTGGCCTCCACACTCTCTCTCTCTCTCTCTCTCTCTCACACACACACACACACACACACACACACACACCCATGTGAGCACACCCTCACCAAACACACACAACCTTTCCCATTCTTCCGCTGCTCTCCCCTCTCTGGGCTCTCTGGGCTCTCCTCATGACTCTCTCTCTAGAGCCACTGCTACTGTGAGATCTTAAAAACAGCTCCATTGAGAGAGATTTCACATACTAGAACTCACTTGTTTAAAATGTATAATCCACTGGCTTAAGGCATATTACATTATTAAGTTTTTAAAGCTATGATGCATTTATATAATAAAAATTTTTTTTTGTTTTAACTGTTTTCAGTTGTACAACTCGGTGCCTGTAATTATGCGGTTACCACAAATTCCAGAACTTGAAAAACAATCACCCCCAACAGAAGCTCAAGTACTCATTAAGCAGTAACTCCTGACCCGCCTCCCTCAGCTTCCCCTCCAGTCTGCATTCTGCCCTGTGACCCTGCTGGCCAAACTCCTCCTCCAAGTCAACTCATACTCCACTTGTCTGGTTAACTTCTCTCAGCATAATGTCTTCAGGGTTCATCCATGTTGCGGCACGTACCAGAACATCTCTCCTTTTTATTGCCAAATAATATTCTGCATTTTGTTTATCCCTTCCTCCATTGATGGGCACATGGATTGCTTCCACCTTCTGTCGACCTCACATAATGAATACTGGTGTGCAAGGATCTATTTCAGTCACTGATTTTGCTTCTCTGGGGTGCATACTCTCCAGCCCCCTCCCCCTTTTATCCGAGACATGATATCGCTGTGTACTTAAGCTGACTCAAACTTGCAATCCTCCTGCCTCAGCCTCCTAAGTGCTGGGATTGCAGGCGTGCCCCACCACATCCAGCTGGGCCAGCTGTGGACGCTTCCAGATTATTTGTGCCCAGTTCCCACAGGAATCTTTTTGACCCCGCAGTGTTGGGGATCAAACCCAGGGACTTGAACAGTCTAAGCAAATGCCACTGAGCTAACCTCTCAACTTTATCCATATGTTGGTAGAACATTTCTACCAACATATGCCAGCTCACACCACTTCTCTGTTCATAATCCTTTGCCAGTTTGACATAAAGATGCCCCTTGAGGTCTGAGAAGATGATTCTGTCCGTAAAGCATGAGTTGACCTCCAGAACCGACGTGATAAAAAAACATGGCAAGATAGATAGCTTGCAGTCCTAGCAGGGAGATAAAGACAAGTAGATCCAGGCACTTACTGGCCAGCCAGCTTAGCCTTCTTGGGGACTTCTAGGCCGGTGAGAGGCCCTGTCTCAAAAAGAAAAACAAGTGGATGGACCTGAGGAGTGACCCCCAAAATTGTCCTCTGGCCTCCTCATGTGTGCACACATGTGTACCCCACATACATACCCACTAAGCAAGGGGTTCAGAGAGACACTCTAATGCTGAGCCAGGCCTTTAGAACCTGAGCTGGGGCCTGCCAGAGTCTCCAAGGTTTCATACCCCCTTCCTCTGCTCTAGATGCCCCAGACTTCCCATCCTGCTCCGGAGCCATGCTCCTTTCAGATTTTAACCTTCAGGTCCCTCTTTCTCCCTTTAATATTTTATTGTCATTTATTTATGTGTGCATGTGTATGTATGCATAGAGTGAGACAGACAGAGGGATGTTGGATTCTCTGGAGTTATAGGCGGTTGTGATCTGCCAGATGTAGGTGTTGGGAATCGAACTCAGGTCCCCTGCAATAATAATAGTATGTGCTCTTAACCACTGAGCCATCTCTCCGGCGCAGGTTCCTCTTTCTAAAATGTTCACACACCTCCAAATCCCTAGGTCTTGCTAGCTTTATTAATAGTCATTCCTTCCTATCTTTTCCATCTATCTTATCATAGAAAATTTCCCTAATGTCCACAAACCCCTGCATCCCAGTCCCCTGTCACTCTTTTGTGCTCTTTCAGCCCCTTGTCTTTTATGACTTGGCGTGGATGGTCCAATGTCTTGTCCTCCCTGCTACAGTGATGACTCCTACGGACTGAACACCGCCTGTGTGTCTCAGGCTGTTTCACGCACATCTCCTGTAGTCCCTTATCACAAGCTGACAATGGAAGTATGGGGATCCAGTCACAGTGTCGGTGACGTCTGGAAACCACTACAGCCCCCAGAGTCATCCCTCAGGGAGCGTGGTGCTCCTGTGCCAGCATCTTCATGCCCTACCAAAGAACCTGGAGCACACTGGTAGCCAATCCATACCTAGATGAGGGGATAAGATGGAAGTACAGGAGGGACTCGAAGTTTGAGCACTCTTTTTTTCCCAGTGGTCTCTATGAGTTGAGCAACCTTACCTACTCTCCCAGCCTCAGTTTCCCCAATGTAAGATGTTCATGTTAAAGTTATGTCCCACGATTATTGAGGCTTTAAAAAAAAAGATTTATTCGTGTGTGTATGTGTGCCACATGTGCGAGGGTGTCTGTGGAGGCCAGACTAGGGCTTGGTGTCCCCTGGAGCAGAGAGATTCGGGGTGGTTGCAAGCTCCCAGCACAGGCTGCTGAGATCTGAACTTCCGTCTTCTATAAGAGCAGCATGCTCTTTTAACCGCTGAGCCGTCTCTCCAGCGCAAGGCTGTGCTCTTGTTTTAACATAATAATGTTTTGTTTTGTTTTAAGTTCAGCCTCGCACACTGGCTCCCTCTCCACAAACACTGATAGCTAGCATTTTCTTCCCATCCTCAGAATCCCAATTTGGCCGACCTAGCCCCGGCAGGATGTGTGGCTGTCCTCCTCCTTGGATTTCAGTGGTCCACCTCTGAGACAGTACCACGGGGAGGCAGAGCGTCCGCGTGCTCGGCTGGCCTGGCCTCACCCTGGCTGCTCTGCTCCGGGAGTCGAGGCGGAGCTGGAAGCCTGGCCCCGCCCTTGGGGCGCGTTATCTACGTTTCCGCGTCAGGCGCTGGGTGAACTTGGCAAGCCCTCCCGGCTGTGGATGGGGAACACTTTGTGCCCAGCGCCGGCCCGCTGGGCCCTCCTCCTTCCCGCCGGCGCCGCAGGGCCTGGACGCCTCCGCTGTCCCTAGGTCTGGGGTCTTTGGAACCCGAGTACCTTGCACCTGGACCGCAGCTCTGAACTCCCACGCCTCGTCCCCAGTGTAGTCACAGATCCCTTGGTCTACGGGAGTCCAAATGTGTGGACACCGCGCCTAGTCAAGGGGGTCATATAGATGCCGTGGCCCATTTTAAAACAAAGCTCAATTATAAGCGCGCAGCGGCTGTTTATTCCAGCCCAGCCTCTGATCCCCGAGGGCTGCTGTCAACTAGTACCCACAGGAAGCTCCACCCCGACAAAAAGAACCGAGCCCGGAGCCTAGGGACCTGCTTGAGACCCTCAGCTCGCTCAGGTCCAGACTACAAGAGCCTAGGCAGATCGCGGGATGGTGGGTAGGGGGTGGAGGACCCAGTCTCCCATTCTGTGTAATGGGACGCACTGCGTGCTTGGTGGCTGTACCTCAAGGGCTGAAGGTGGCAGGGATAGCAATGCCTCTATCTCCGGGACCCCCATCTTCCCACGGTCCCCGCTCCCCGCTGGCCAGGGCTGCACGCGCGGCGCTGACTCTAAAGTGCGTCACGGACGGCACCCGCCGTGCTGCTCCACCGGCCTGGGTGAGGTTGGCGCCGGGCCAGTGCAGGCTGGGCCAGCAGCGCCTGGGCCATCACCCCGCCTAGAGACCCGGGCGTGGAAAGCGCTGAAGTTGCGCAGCACCGGGATCGCAGCCGGGACACTCTCGGCTAGGGGCTCCGCGCCCCTGATCCGCCTCCGCAACCCTCCTGGGCACGAGGTGACACGCCCTCGGTTCCCTAGGCGCGCGGAGCCCGGGAGATTTCTTCAGGATCAACTGCGCGGCGGCCTCCCTGGGCTCCTTGCCCCGCCCCGGGTCTCCGCCCCCTCCCCTTTGGCTAGGGATCTTGGACCCGGAGGCGACCGCCTAAGAAGCTCGAGCAGCCTGGACCCGGAGGCGGGCTGGGGGCCGCGGAGCCGCTGGCCACCGACTCTCCCCGCCATGTGACTCGATCCTCCTGCCTGCGATCCCAGTGCCAGCGCCCGCGCCCTGCCGCGCTGCGCATCATGCTCTTGCCGGGACACCCGCGCCCGCCGCCCGCGCCCCAACCCGCGCAGAATCCCGGCCTCCGCAGGCAGGTAGAGCCTCCCGGGCAGCTCCTGAGCCTCTTCTACTGCACGGTCCTGGTGTGCTCCAAAGAGACCTCCGCGCTCACCGATTTCTCCGGTAAGAGCTCTCTTGCTTGCCATGAGCCCGCGTTCCCGTCGGTTACCCAGGTGAGAAGTAGGCAGGGGCCGCCTCTGTAGGGGGCACGTCCTGGATGGATTAAAGTTCAAGTGGACTCCATAAGCAGTTTTCTTGCCTGGTGGGAGTTTAGGTGATGGTATCAGGGGAGCCGTCTCTTCCTAACGATGGACCTGTAAGATATTTCGAGGTTTTCCGCGGTGCTCTTGACCTTTGTTAGTTTCCTGGACATCAGCCGCACAGCCCTGACCTTCATGTGTTCACTAGAGGATCCCTAAATTGAGCCCGGTACCACGCCCAGCTCTGGGAGATAACCGTGTTCTGGACGAACAGTTGCGCTTGGCTGGCCACCCACACGATAAGGGTGCGTCCAGCCAGACTCCAGGGTACCCATGTAAGGAGACTAGCCCAGGGCACACTGGACCTAAAGTCCAAGCCAGTCCCTAGGGAGGGAGCCTAGGAAGATTGGAGGTCTGGTGGAGATGCCTTGAGAGACTCATAAGAACTGACACCAGAGAATACACAGAGGCATGACTTTATAGCAAAAGGTGCCAGCACCCACCAAACACACACACACACACACACACACACACACACACACACACACACACACACACACACACACACTGACCTCCTCCTGCCAAATCAAAGATCTTTGGCGAACTCCTACCCCAACCCTGGCAAAAGATCTTAGCAAGGTGTGAGGCAGCAGGTGGCAGGTGTAGGGAAGGTTTTTAGAAGGTAACAAATGTCTACAGCTGTTAACAGCCCTGAGTCTCCATAGGCTCAGCAGCTTTCTCCATCATTCCCAGGGTGCATCACCTCTGTGCCTCTCACTCCCCTCTCTCTCAGGACCTTCTGCCCAGCTTAGGCTGGGCACAGACACTAACAAGCCCCTTGCTGCAGGGTTTTTCCCCTTTGTTCTTCAGTGTGATTGTGGTAAACAGAGTCACCCCTCTGTTCTGCGTGCACGACAGACTACCAGGCAAAGAAACGGGAAGACCAGACTTGAGTTAGGTTTCTGGTTTGCTTACAGAGAATGTCATTCATTGTTAGCTGAGAGCCCTTAGCTCAGAGGTTCTTTGCCTAGAATATTTAATATCAAGGCAGTGTTCCTGCCTGGCCAAGGAAGCCAAGATATGCCTGTTTGGCAAGCTCACCAAGGCCCTTAAAAACAAGCCGCAGAGAATCAAAACTCAGGTCAATGTGCTGGGGAAATGCATCGGGTTTTTTTTTCCAAGCACTATTGACTTTTTTCTTTTTCTGTAACAGAACTTTCTTGGCTTCCAGAAACATTCTGCATCATTTGCTGATTTAAGCTAGAGTGAGCAGCTCTTTTTTTTTTTTTTTTTTTTTTTTTTTAGCCACCGTCTTGCCCTGATTATTGTAAGGAAAAAATTAAAAGCTGAACCCCCCCACCTTCACCCCACTTTAGTGACATCACTGCAACTGAACAAATATTGCTTTAGGCAAATTGCAATGGAACTCCCTCAACCCCCCCCCCCCACCACCACCACCAATGACAGACTTTCCGAGTTTGTTTCTGGAGGGAAGCAGTTGTAGTCCTGACAGCGTGCAGGCTGTCACACAAGTCTGGAGATGAACTGTGCATAGTAAACGGCATACAGCAGATCTAAGCTGTAAACAGGGAGGCACCATCCTGTGAGAAGCAGGTGCTTGTCCGGAGGTCCCTAAGTCCTGAGATGGATGAATGCCCCCTCCCCCGCTGTTTCCCAGGAGATGTGGGGGGGGGGGTCTCTAACTCAGAGTCAGCGGCAGGTGGTGGCATTGTCTGGTCACCTCACCTTCCCTCTTTGCTGTCTACAGACTGTAAGGAAACACATGGAACTCTCTTCCCAAGCCATAGGCACTCTCAGGTTTAAACCCGAGTTCTGTATAATGTGGGATGGGGAGACCTCCAAAAGATCTCAGAGGGAAAGAGAGGTGAAGTCTTCCGACGATGGCCCGTTCAGCTTTAAACTGAAGCCAACCCTCCAACCATGCAACAGAGGGAAAACCCTAAGCTCCCAAATGGACAGTTTGAGTGTCCAGTTGAGTGTGTTGGCCTCACTGATTGATTTCCTGTGGCCTCCAAGGGTACTGCCTGCTTTCCTGGGGACAGGCAGGCCTGTTCCCTTTCATGAGTTTGGCAAGTGTGTAGGAGGGGAACAGAAATAGTGGGTTCTCCCCTGCGGAGCCATACCACAATAGCCCCGAGCTAGGGAGCATGTTTGACAATACAGACACTTGTTTTCTAAACCAGAGAAACATCAAAAAGGTGTGGAGGAGAGAGGGAGTTCAGGACCCCCCCCCCCCCATTACCTCCCCTTTCGAAGAAGAACAGAGAATGTGTCCATGTGAAAGAAAGTCCTAACATGCTGTGGGCCCCCATCGGAGGGGCCCCGTCAGAGTCATACAGTGCAGAACATTCCTGCAGTTTCAGAACATTACTTAATGTCTCCCCCCCTTGCAGCTCTTTCCCAGGCTATTGCCTGAGGCCGTCAGCTGGTGTCATTTTTCCTGGGTCATTGATTTTTTTTTTCCCCTTGCCCTGGAGATTCTAGCATCAGATCTCTTAATAATCCAAAGGCTGCATGGCGGCCCTTTCTCCCACTCTGTGCTTGTGACTTGGGCTAATCATCCCCAAGCCTGCTGAGGCCCAGGCTCCCTGGTACCCTCTTCTCTCTGAAAATTTTGGGTTTCCAGGAAGGCTGGCTTCACTGCATTAAAAATGTATCCCAGGAGAGACACGATGGCTCAGTGGGTAGAGGCACTTGCCACCAAGTCTGATGACCTGAGTTTGATATCTGGATCCACACGGCTGAAGGAGTCTTTAGTCCCAGCACTCGGGCAGCAGAGGCAGGCGGACCTCTGAGTTTGAGGTCAGCGTGGTCTACAGAGTGAGTTCCAGGACAGCCAGGGCTATGTAGATAAACCCTGTCTTGAAAAAACAAACAACAAACAACAACAACAAAACAAAAAAAGAACACAGGCTGCTCTTTCACAGGACTCGGGCTCGGTTTCCAGCACCTACATGTTATAACTCCAGTTCCAGAGTATCCAATGCACTCTTCTAGTCTCCTCAAGAGTCAGACATGCATGTGGTACATGTACATATAAGTAGGCAAACACACACACACACATACACATAATGTTTTAAAAAAGTCTTTTTAAAGCTCTCAAATAAAGAAAAAAAATTGAAATGAATACTTATTTAAAGAAACAGTTTGAGAGGCTGGGCCCCTGTGCTTGGCTTACAGGCCACTGACTTCTCACCTATGTGTCCATCCTTCTGTGTCTGTCTGTGTCTTCATGGCCTCTTCTAAGGCCAACAATCGGATTGGGTCAGGGCCCACATGAATGCCTTTATCTTAACTTAACCTCCCATTTAAAGACTGCGCCTCCAAGTACACTCCCAGTCTAATGTGAATCTAGGTGACACACAAATCCATCTGTAACACAGGTCATCTGCAACCCAACATACAGGCCTGACTGGATGCTCCATCGTAGCCGGAAGTTTCTCCTGTCCTGCCCGGCCCCACAGTCCGGACGAATCTCTACCACTCAAGGTCCCACAGCCGCTTATAAAATAGTCACTCTGAGGCTTAATATTAATTATAAATTGTTTGGCCTATGGCTCAGGCTTCTTGCTAGCTTATAACTTATAACTCAACCCATTCCTATTAACGTATGTTTTGCCGTGTGGCCCGAGGCTGTGCCGTTACTGATCTGGTGACATGTTGCTCCTTGGGTGGGCTCGAGTCTCCCTGACTCTGCCCTTCTTCTCTGTGTATCTCCATTTGAATTTTCGGCCTGGTTCTTATCCTGCCTTACCATAGGCCAAAGCAGCTTAATTTATTAACCAATGGGAGCAACATATATTCACAGCACACAGAAAGACATCCCACAGCACTCCATGTTCCACTGGCCAGAATTTCAGGATGTGATACAGTGGATATTAGGAGCCAAGTCCTGGAAAGGGACGGGGCACACATAGTTGTCCGTTTTCAGGAAGCTAAATTTTCCTATTTTGCACCCAGACAAACAAGGTGTAACCCTAGAAGTGTATAGAATGACCTGGGGAACTAAATGCATGGTGTTGAGCTGTATTCCAGGGTTTCTGACTGAAATGACCTGCAGACATGCAGGCACTGGGTTCTCCTATGGTTTCCTGGGCAATCCCAAGGTGCAATCAGTTCCGAGGCACAGTGCCAGTGGTCACAGGACAGAGCTACCTCCCGTTCATGTATCAGCCCACCCAGAGGATGACTGACTGGGGTCCCCTTCCTCATTAGCCCAAGGTGCACCACCAGGGAGACCAAACCTGAGTTTCTCCAGCCACCGCCCAACACCTACATGCACACACACACACACACACACACACACACACACACACACGTACACACACCCCGTCTGCATTTTATTATTCCTCGGTTATATTGTCCTTTTACCTAGGAGTTATTGTCACTTAAAAAAAAAAATGTTATGGCGTGAAAAGCCAGCTCATGCCAGAAGAAAAACAAGCTGAATGTCTGAAGTTGTCTGGCTCTCATGGAGAAAGAGAGGAAGAACAGGGGTCTCAAACTGCCCGGCTGTTTCCGTGGAAAGCAGCAGCATCTGAAAAATGCCCCCCCCAGCCCCTGCTGCGGCAAAGAGTTGTCTCGGCTCACAAGTGCGCCGTTATTGATGGCCGTGGTCTCCCAGGTGCTGTGTTGGAAAGGGCAGCCTAGCAGCAGTCCTAGGGAGGAGGCAGCAAGAAAGAATGGAATTAATTGAGCCCAGTGTCATTTGACGTCAGCCCTGTAGCAGCCCCTGGTGAGTAGTGGTCTCATTTACAGACAAGAACTTGGCCTTGGATAGGGCAACTAACCTGCTCAAAATGCCCCAGTTAGCAGAACAAGAGCTACCTCCAGCACTGAACTGGGGCTAGCCTAGGGGACTCGGGCTTTGATGGTGTCAGGAGCAGGACAACAAGAATACAT